ATTGTGAATTAAAAGCTTTAATTTAATTATTAACAAATAATATGGAACAAAATTTGAAAATTATTTTCTAAGTAATTGTAAAGATAATTGAAGACTTTTAATGCGTACTGTGCTTTGTTGAAAGCAAAATTTTTTGTATTGTCCACATTGTATTTGTTGTTTAACGTAATTTTGCCTCTATTTAAATTAATTCTAATTAACCAGCAGTTAGATGTCTCTTACAAATTCTTAAATACACAAAATTAAATTTAATATAATATGCGTATAACATAATTCAATTCTTATTTAATACTTCTTACAGTTAAAATTTGTTAAATAAGTATAAATCAAACTTGTTGTAATGACAAATTATTTAATGCTCATACATATACTGTATATATATGTATGAAATGTTGCATTGGAAAAATTTTTTTCTGATTCTAGTATTATAAAATGTACTATAGAATTCGAAATTGTCAAAATTGCAGCAATAATAGTTTAGAATAAATATTTTCGCTGAAAATTGAAAATATTTTTAAGGAAGCAAAACCATTTTGTATGATCATACAAATTGATTAATTTATAATATGAAATCAAACAAATGCATTTGATTTATTTAGAGGTCGTAATAGAATTTTGAACTTAAAAATCTAATCAAAATTATTAACCTAAAAATTTACATATACTCGTACCTATTATTTTTTTAGTTAAAATTTTTTCTCTTTAAATTAATTAGTGATTTAATATTAGATAGATATCTTTGTATATTTTCGCTTTTGAAGTTTTTCGCTATGACCTAAAAATTAAACATTTTGAACCCACATAATGAAAAGAATACTTTATATAATATTTTTAATTTTAACGCTAATCAAGGAAACAACACTCATCAACAATAAAAAATGAAATTTCCGTACATGTATAACGTACATACACACTTATATAAGAGTAATAATCATGAATAATATTCTTGTTTAAATTTTAATACCTACGTCGTAAGTTGTTGTCGGACTATAAAGTGCATTCATTTTATTATGTATATTTAGTGGAGATCATTGTGATTTACATAAAATTTATATTATGACGGATATGCAATCTACGTTATACATGTGAGTGTGTGTGTGTGTGAATAATATACTCACATTGTTTTTTTATTATGTCATTTAAGAGAAGAGACTTATTCTAATTCATTTTGATTATAAAAGAATATTATTTTCATTTATTATGTCATCGCGATCGTATTCACAAAAAAAAAAATTTTTCTTTTAATTTTCGCTTTTTATCTTTTCATTAAAAAATGTTGACCATTCCGATGCAATGCAATTATTTTTAGTGCGTATTGGAGTATGAATGAAAGCATACTTTTAATTAATGAGTTTAAAAAATATTTATAAAATTAATATTAAATATGCATTCGAAATTATAACTAAGGCTAAATTTGAAATATCAATTATAATACATGGATGGATCCATTAAAAATCGAAAAAAAAAATTAAATTATAAAAGGGCTCCAATAAAAATTATTTGACAGCAACTTTAAAACTACAATTACTTACGTATAAGTTTACACAAAAATTTTAAATTTCATATTTAGCAATTGAGAATTCATGCTTATTTCTCATTCACAAAACACTCACTCAAAATGTCAGTGTGACATTTGCAATTAATAAGTAAATTAGTTAATATGTGCACATGAATTTTGTCTTCGCACATCCACTCAAATTTTTTCAGTAATACAAGGGTTTTTTTTTCAACATAATCATTAATACCGATTAGTATTTACAATTATAACTTAATATATTTTTTTAGATTTAAACGACAACTTGTGATTCTTATGAAGTATAACACACTTTATAAGTATGATTGTGTATATACACACAATATATGTCAAATAATTACATACACATAAATTCATAAATAATTAAGAAGATTTTACTTAAAATTTTGTATCAATTAAATAATTTAGGTCTTTTACATTACCGACCATTTATTCTTAATAAATTTTGAAATTTTTTACTAACTGGAAGTTGTAATTTATGTATATATTAAATTTTATATATTGTAATAATTTAGATCTACAAAAATTTTAACTTATGTTTTGAAAACATTAAATATAAGAATTGAACATATTTCAAAATGTCAAAATGCTACGCAAGACACATTACTTAAGTTACGTAGATGTGCCCGCAACGTTTTTACAATTAAGCGGTAATTGTAAAACTATAATTTGCATATCTGTCTTAGCGCTAAAAGAAATTGTTATTGCTCTTGCAATCGGTGTTTACACTAGGTTGTCATACAAATTGTTATATTCATGTTGTCATCATGCAATATTTGTAGACTACCTAGATTATTTTATATTTATACACTTTACGAACAATAATTTACTTCAACAATATTTCAATTACCAATATAACAGAAAAGAATAATGTCAAAATTTAGTACTTAAACTATGTCGCGACACAATAAAATCTAAATAAAATATTAAATATCCGCTACAACTTCTTAACTTCCCATTTTATCACATAATTTTAAAGTAGAATTTAATTTCAATTTAATATGCAATTTTATTATAGTTGAGAATTTAACAAAAAAATAGCACATTTTGTATTTACTTTTTTTTTTTATACAACAACAAATAAATTAAGAATACTTACATAGCAAACAACTTAAGATGTTTTGTACTAAATTTACGCTTTCATTTGAAATTAGCACTAATTGCAAAGAAAGGAAATTTAATATTCAAATTTTTAATTCTAAACTTAAATAATAATGTGGGCGCCCCCCTGTGGTTTATTTTAGAATGATATTAAATATGATTAAATAAAAAGAAATAAAAATAATTTCAAATTGTCAAAATGACAAAGAAAAAAAAACAAATAAAAAATTATTTCCGATAATAAAGTGATATGACAAAAATATTCATTTAATCTAGTTTACTAGCGTTCATGTTTTCGTTTTTGTATACTAAGTGAAACATAAATACGATTATAATCATAAAGATAGCTGCTAAAGTACAATAAATCTTACAAGTTTGAACAACATAACGCTTACTATTGTCAATCTAATTGATAATATTTTGGAATTGACGCGTACAATATGACGCCAAATAAGAAAAAACTAAATTAAAAAGAGTTTGGATTTCTGGTATTCTCAATTACTTATTGGAAAACTATTCATAAGTGTGAACCAACGTAATTATAAAACGGTATTAAAATTTTCGGAGGCAGACGCTAATAAATTAATGTAGCACATAGAGTTCAACGGGTCACATATTCTGTAGAGTATTTTGAATACATAGCACATGTGTGACAGAATGTGTGACATACTTAACCACATAAATGACGTATTAACATAAATACGTGATAAGGTAATTAAAATTATTTATAAATACCTATATAAATATATAGGTTAGTTATATTCATATAATGTAGGTTATAAATACCTACATTATATGAATTAAATTTTAAAATTTATTAATAATAAATTAGATTTAATTATCAATTTAATTAAAAGATAATTTTAATATTTATAAACAACTTTATATCAGTAAATATTAAAAATACATAGAATTTGTGTGCGTGTAATGTTGTATTATAATTAAGAATATTGATAACAGTTAAGTTAATTTGACAATTAAGAGGCACTAATTTACAAGTATGTAGGTATTACAATAATTATTAAACTGTTATAAATTCAATATTGCAATAATAAGGTCTTTTTGAAAATTTGAAACAAAAATTTTGTTCATAATTTTTTACAATTAACAAATTATTTCAATTTTAATTACTTTTTTTTATTATCATAACAGTAAATTAAACAATACTACTATCAGTTCACTATATTGTAACACAAAAATGAAAAGAATACAAAACAGTGATACTCGTAATTACTGCCATCTAATTCTAAAAGAGTACACTTGCACCTGACCCCGTTAAGAAAAAAAAATTATTATCAAAATTGTTATCAAAATTGTTATTAAGAATATTTTATTATCGTCATGATAATTGTACTACACATAACAATACCAATTATTATTTTATGTATTATATATTGTCATGCCAGTTTTTTTATATTTCAAACATTTTGAATTCCTCGTTTTTCTTTTAAAATGTTGTCAAAATACTTTATATGTATTAATTCTAAAAAAAAAGCATAAATAAAAATACAAAAAGAGAAAAATTTTTCATTCTTACTGTTTTGTACAATAATTGTACAACAGCAATTATTGTCTTCTTTATTATTTATTCAATAGCCGGCACCGGCATTTTACAATTATTATTATAGAAGAAAATTAAAGTTCATAAATATTATTTTGTTTACTATAGTATATAGCAATTCAATTATTTATTATTTTTTATACATACATATAATATTGTTTATATATCTAGCCTGTTTTAACATTAAAACTTTCAAATAACCTTTAAAGAAACAAAATATGTGAAAAAGAAAAAATAAATTTTATATTTCAATTTTCAAATCGAATTCTCTTATAATTCAACAAAAACAAAAAGAAAACATTTATTTCTGTCATTCTGTGTCTCTCTTTTCAAATATTAAATTTTCTTTACTAAATAAAGAGAATAGACATGAACATGACAGCAAAGTATAATATGAAGGCAATAATTAGCAAGAGGACTGGAGAAGAGAATTGAAATTGAATTAAATTAAAACACAATTTTGTTGAATAAACTAAAACTTGACAGCAAAAAAAGAAAATAAATATTTCTGAGAGACAATTTTTTTTGAGAGAGAGAGAAATTATTTTATTTTAAAGGTGAATTTTTTATAAAATTAAGAGCAGTATTTAATTTACTTGCGTGCAACAAATAACTATTTCATTTTATTCCTATTGCTATTCTGTGTGACTCCATTAAATTTTAGGGTTAATAATAATTTTATTCTGCATTTAATTTGGAAAAGAATAAAAATATTAAAGAGAGAAGAAAAGAAAAATTTTTTTTTTAATTATTTTGTTTTCTTCTTTTCCATTTTAATTAGAGCTTCCATATTAATTAATTTTTTTTTTGTTACTCAAGCAGTCAGTCAGTCGTCGTCGTCGTCGTCAGTTCATTATCAGTTTTGAATGAGTTTAAATAATAAAGTACGGAATATGATTTTGAAATTTTGTGCAAATTTAAATTTTTTATTTGCTGAAAATAATGCACCATATTTGGAACGTTTATATATGGCTAAACAAGCTGGTTTCAGAGGTATTGAAATTTCATATCCAGATAAAATATCATTAGATGATCTTATTAAAACTAAAAATGAAACAAATTTGGAATTGGTTTTAATGAATATTAAATTGGGTAAGTTTTTATTATAATTTGTGGTATTCACATACATATGTATACATATACATACATACATAAATAATTTTTTGATAATTTTTTTTTTTTGGAATTTTAAAGTTCATATCATCTGTTGTTTTTTTTCTTTAAAATAAATAAAAATAACACTCCCATTATTTGAATAAAATTATGAAAATATATTTACATACATACATACATATGTCTATACATATAAAGCTATATTAAATTATTTTTTAATTGTTGTTTTCGTAAACATTTTGTTTTTTTATCTCTCAAAAATTTTTAAAATTTTCAAGGTTAGCTAGATTTCTTATTTTTGTTTTTTCAAGAATAAATAAAATGACAGTAAAATTTTATACTCAGTGATTTTAAATAAAATGTAATATTTATGTATGTATGTATGTATGGATATGCATAATAATATTTTACCTACTTGAATGTAGGTCATTAAACTTTTCGTATGCATTTAATGTGTACATAGGCATACAAGATGTGTTGGCATGCGTGTGTGTGTGTGTGCAGTAAAACTTTAATTTGATTTCTGTTAGCATTGTTTTAAAACTGAGTGAAATTCAAAATTGCATACGAAAATAATTGCATAAGTGAATAGCTTTTACATAATTTAGGCGATCACTTACTTTTTAAGTGGATCACTTAAATTCAAGTGGAATATATGTTACACATGTATGCACTGACATACAAACGTACATAAGTATTTTTAATAACTTGTTGAGAATCAAATTTATGTATACGTATTGTACGTATGTAGGTACCTACATACATACGAGTATAGTTATATAATATTTACATAAAAATGAATCTAAGCTTATACATAATTAACATTTATACATAGATATAGAATGAATGTTATTATGTTATTTTAGAAAAATATTTATATATACATACATAGATATGTACATTTGTATTTATTTTGTATGGTGAATTTTACAACCGTATGAAATTCTCAATAAATATGTAAAAGGTGAATTATTTTAGAAATTTGAAATGTTACAAAATTTTGGATAGTAAAAGCACAATTGATTTTATTTTTATTTTTTTCGGAAATTTTGTTTAAATATCAACTACACACATGCATACGTACATACTCTTGTATTTGTAGGCGTTTTACACATTTTTATTATAAGCAAACATGAACACTGGTGAAAAAAATCAATTCGATTTTTAATTAAATTGAAATTTGGTACCTAATTACAATTGTGTAAATAATTTAATTGAAAATAAGTAAATACAGTTGGTGTTCATACATACAAACACATTTCGTTTTGAATTTATTTTTCTATTGTCCAACTTATATAATGATTAATAAACTTTAAATTTTAAGTTCACATGTACCTAAATACATATTTGATTTGTAAATTTTTTCCGGGAATTCCCATAATTTCTTAATTGAAATTTTTTGTAGAAGCTACAAGAATATTTATTGAGTTAAATGAACATCTTTTATTTAATAAGTGTGCCAGTAAGAGAGAAAGCAAGTGCAATACATACATATGTATGTGCATACCTACATATATCAAACGTGTATGAATTTAAATCAAACGTGCAACAATAATAAGTTTGAAGGCTAGATTTTCTAATAAAAAATTTATAGGTACTTATTTATAGAATCCACATTTGAATATTGATTTGAAACCTTATTGTGGTACATAAGTACTTGATTTGAAAAATTTAATTGATTTTTGTTTTTTTTTTTGTTCCAATATAATTTAATTTTCAATTTACCTTGATTTTTTCGATTCAATACCTAATTTATGTGTAATACTTTAAACACATTTTATTTTAATTCATTTAAAATTTTAAATATTTACATATCGCTTTAATGATTATTAAATATACATACATACATACATACATAATATGTATATGGTATGTACATTTTGAATAACAGTTAAATTTCATATGATATGCAATAAAATCATATAAAATTCATGTATCACCTTCATACCAATAACTATTAAAAATGTTAAAATATAACATGTGATCTGTTAATGTTATATTTTGTATAATAATACAATATGTATGTATGTATTGTTTATTTATGTTGTGTAAAAGTGAATTTATTAAAATTGAAGCGAATTAAATACCGTTATTTTGTTCATATTAATAAATTGAGAAGAGAAAACTGACTCTCTTTTTTTTTGACTGATTATTATTTTACACGTCAATCAGCATAATTATAATTGTGTATTTTAAAGGGACAGTAAGAGTATTGCGAATGCGTTAAAATTTTTCTCGTTATGCGATAATGAAAATTTTAAATTGTAAATATTTTTCAAGTGGGCCATGAAATTTTGTTTTTTTTTTTTCATAATATTGAAAATTAATTACTTTTGCATATTGCATTAAGAGTTTTTAATTCAAGTGCTGATAAAGTTATTTTTAAATTTTCGATTAGGTAGCTTAGATATAATTTTTTTGTGATTTAAGAATATTTGGCAATTTAGGGTAATTTTTATAAATAATTAATGCAGTTAAAGTTTTAGGAAAGAAAAATGCTTGCTTGGCAATAGCCCGACATTAATTGTATTTGAAGAAAAGTACTGTGCCAAGTCCGAATCCTTACAATAATAAAATGTAGTAGTAGCCATAAAGTAATTATTCAGAATAATTATTTTAGTTAAGAATCTGATAAAATTATTTAAATATTACAAGTGTATGTATAATGAAATTAATATAATAATTATGTATAGGTATAACGTATAATTGTTATATTAATTTATATAAATCGGCAATATTATTTGAGGTTTCCATTAGTTTACTCAATATTTTTATACTTTATAAAAATTTTAGAATATTTATACTTAAAAAAAATTGTTTTCCATACAATTTTATATTGTATAACACTTATTCTTAATACCATATTGTTGCCGTATATCATTATGTAATCGTTATATAAATTATTATAATATAATGCAATTAATTACTGTTTAAGAATCGTGACTTTTAAATGATTAATTAAAAAAAATTTATGTATAGGTACAACAATTAATTTTTTAAATAAAAGGTAATCTAATTAGAATAAAAATTTTTGTAATATTAAGAAATTACTCATATAATGTAGGTAACCCGATATAGGTTTATCCGATTATTCAAAACCATATTTAATTATTATTCATTTCCTACTACACTTACTACCTTACAAGTTACTTCCGACATTTTTGCATTATTATGAATTTTTTTATTAAATTCACAGTAGTTAGGTACATTTAAATCATATAAAAACCACTCAAAATATAAAAGTAATAAAAGTAGTTATGGTTAAAACCACAATCATAACATAGTAGTTAAACATTTTTATTTTATTTATTCTTATTATTGTTTTTTTAATTCCTATTTAATTTAAAATTATAAATTTCATAAATTTAATTAAATTATGAAGACTATAAAATTTATTTAAGTATATATATGTATATGTATATCAACATATCACTTATAAATTATAAATAATATATGATTTTTTTTTTGATTTTTTTATATTGTAGGTAGTGAACCAGACACAGCATTTGGATCAACATCATTACCCAACCTTGAAAATACATTCCAACAACATTTTTTAGATACAATTGCATTGGCTAAAAAATTAAATTGTCATAAGTAATTTAAATATAGTTATATACCTACATTTATTTTTGTTTTAGATTCTGTAAAAAAAATAAGTAAGGTGGAATATCTTTGCAGCATGGAATCATAATTATAGTTTAATTCGAATAATTTATAGTAATTTCAAATAGACATGTATATATAAAAAATAAAATTTGACTATTGTGAATTTGAAAGTCTATAATGATTAGCCATTTGTTAAAGAAATTTACAAAACCAATAATTATTTAGATGTCTTTAGATAGTAAATTTTGTAAAACAAACTATATTGAATCACTTAATTGGATCAGATGATTGAATCAGTTAATTGAATACAAACGTCTTATGTTAAACCAATTAATTTGCTTAAGGTTAAATAATTTCCTCCATTTGATTCTAATTCAAGTAGATCTCATTATTTTTACAATACCTTTAAAGAATTTACTAATATTATATAAAATAGTATTAAATCAATTATTTATTATAATATTTTTAAAATATGTACATATATTAAATTTTATTTTTTTTTAATTTTAGAATTCATTTGATGTCCGGCAAAGTTAAAAATGAATCACGTGAAAAACATTTAAAAACTTATATAAAAAATTTAAAATTTGCTGTTGAACATTTGGAAAAAGAAAAAATTTTAGGTTTAATTGAACCAATAAATGGTTATGCTGTACCAGATTATTTTTTAAATAATTATAAAACAGGTATAATAGACCAAAATAGAATTAGAAATTAAAAAGATTTTTTTAATTATAAAATTCAAAAAATAGAATGAGAATTGTGTTAAGCATAAATTTTAAAATTTTTATCTGTAAATAAATTGTTTACTAGTTTATTTAATTTAATATAAAGGGATTAATAATCCGAAAATGCAGTTCTAATTTAAGTCTTAATATCAAGCGCGTTCAATAAATCAAAACTGTAAAATCTGCAAAACTGCATATTCGAATAGCACAGTTTTTTTATAACTAAATACTGCAAACATATTATTTAATACAACAATTAGACAAAAGAATAAAATAGAAAAATGTTGGATATTCAAGAATTCGACTCGATTATTTTAGAAATCTATAAAAGTAAAAATTATTCAATTTCTGCAGATTTGTAAGTATATGTGGAAAGACTTTTAAGATTTAAATTAGAATTTTCCGTGCATTTCGTAATTATCGAAAATCCTCTAATTTTTTAAAAATTTATTTTATGGAATTTTAATTTTGTGTAAAATGAAACTAAATTATTACAAATAATAATTACAAATAATAAATTATTACAAATAAAATATTTTTTTTTTTATTTAATTTTAGCTGTTGATGTTATTAAAGAAATTGATAGTCCATATTTAAAATTAATGGTTGATTTATATCATTTACAACATATTCAGGGTGATGTTACAAATTCAATTAAAGAATTAATGCCAATTATTGGACATTTTCAAATTGCTCAAGTACCAAATAGAAATGAACCAAATGCATTTGGTGAATTAAATTATGAATATATTTTTGATATTATTAAAAATTCTGGCTATAGAGGTTGGATTGGTTGTGAATATAAACCAAAAGATGGTACAAGCCATGGTTTAAATTGGATAACTCAATATGGTTTTAAATTATGAATTTTTTTTTTTGCATATTTTCAAATGTAAAATATACTACATAAATAGATACTTATTTGTTATTTGTGGTTGAATTAAAAGAGAGTTAATAAATTTAGCTTCTTTTTTTTCATTTTATTTAAATATTTAATATATATATATACAAAAAATTTACAAATATTATTATATTATTACTGTTAATGGCCGTTATATAAAATAAAATTTTTATACTTAATATTTTTATTTTTTATTTAAATAAGTATATAAAAAATAAATTTAAGATTAGATTAGGGAAATTATTACACTTAGTACTTGACATTGTAATTGTATATACTAAAATAAATTTATTATATATTTTTTTTTTTTAAATATTTAAGTAAATTATCAAGTGCTATAAATTTTGATTTGCTTGTGCAAAGTATTAATATGTAATTAAAGAAAATAATTCGGAAAATAAGCAAGTAAAATATTTTATTTGAATTGTAAACTAAGACGTTGTATAATATCAAATAATTTAATTATAATTAGGACTATCTAAGAAGTAATATATTAGTAGGATGCTCTGTGATATTCAGATTTCCTAAAATGATTTTTGGAATAGTATTATTCATTCGTAATTCAAATAACTATGATTTTATTAAAATTTTAATTATTCATTGTTGTATTTTAAAATTTATATTGCCCATTAATGGTTCATTTTTATAAAACTTCTTATGATACTTATATATATATAACTATTTTTAATGAATAATTAATTTTAATTTGAGCTTCAATTACTTAATAGTAAACAGATTATTTCTAAAATTAATTTCTTCTTTACAATATATGTCTCCTATAGGTATTAATGTGCACCAGTGCTCAATATTGGAATAAAAGAATTAATAATACTCAAATAAATATTCTGTTGTTGCCGCATTATTTACTAGAATCCTTATCGAAATCTAATAAAAATTTGAATTTCATTAAGTAAATTAAAAAGATATACATAATAAGAACAAAGTAAATAATATCAAATATCAATTTCAGCTGATTCCAGCAATTAGAATCAAATTTAAAAAAACTCACTAATGGTAGTCACTTAGTTTACTTCACAACATTATAATTAATGGTTATAAAGAACGCTTTAAATACAAAACTAGAATTGTAAGCTGCAAATCACAAGAAATTCTTAAAACTTTTCAAATTAATTTTCAAGATTGCCCTTCTAAGAAAATATGAAATTAATTAATTTTTTCTACTCGTTTGAAAGACTGCATAATATATTTACTTACTTATTTTCTTTTTTTTTTTCATTAAAGAAAAAAAAAATATTATTCGAAAAATAAAAATATTTGATTAATGGTTAAATAAAAAAAAATTTTTTTTTGACACGTTTCTTAACAAAACTCATATACATAATTGCAATATAAGTAAGTAATATACAAGTATATTTAATAATACAATGCATATCTAAATTTATATACATAAGATTGTTTGCTGTGGCACATAAGGTATACGATGTACATATATACATATTCATATTTTATGTGGGTATAAAATATCAGTAAAAGATAAGGAATAATAAAATGCATTATCGAAAAAGAATAAGAAATTGAGAAAAAAAAAAAATGAAACCACCGAACAAAAACAAATTTCTTAAATAATAATGGAAAATTTTTTTTTTGAATAGCACTAGGTTAAGGATAGGGTTGAGTAGGTATATATACTTACATATGAGAAACCAGTTTCCCAATTTCATATACATATACAGAGTTACTTTATTTTTACTTCTGAACGAATAAATTTATAAATTATAAGAGATTTTTTTATTCATAAATTATAATATTATAAAACATCAGCTGATGAAGAGTTGCTTTATTTGCATATGACTGTCATTTTCAAATTAAAGTGATTAACGTGATTTTGGAATTATCGTCATGTTAATGGATGTTCTGAGAAAATAACAAATTATTTTGGATTCTGGATAAAAATTCAATTGGACAACAAAATTTTATTTCATCTCTGGCCTCTATTTTCTAAGCATTTTATTAAATTTTAATAATACAATTTTCAATAGCACATAATCAATTTTTGATTGACGTATGATTTAACTAATTATTTTATAAGAGAATATTGGCAGTTTAAAGTTTTAACAATTCGTAAATTGAAGAAACACGAAATTACGAACACTTTTGGACAATTGACATGTTACGATCCCACTTTGACATTAAATTTGAGTGTTAAACTTAAAGTGTTTGTTAATAGTAAATATTGTCCAATTATTAGTTATAAATCACTGTATATACTATTAGTTTTATCTCTTAAAAATAATACAAGTGTAATGTAATTTTATGAAAACGGTATTAAGGTGAATGTTATGTACACACATTAAGTATATTTTATTTAAGAGAATAAAAAAAAATTAATAGGGTGCTATCAATGATATTATTTATATTATAAGTTACGTTCATAATGAGATAACAATATATCGTAATATATTCATTTATATACATACCTACTATACATATGTACATGTAAGTATGTAATATTAAAGAAAATCAAATTTTAATGTAAAATCTTCGGCGATGAAAAAATATTTTTTTTTTCTACTTTATTTTTATTATTTTATTAATATTGTAAGTATGTATATAGGTCTGTATGAAAGGTGAGCTAAGGTCAAAATAATAATTTTTGAAAAAAAAAACAGAAAAATAATTTATTTGTATTTTTGAATTTTCATTAAAATAATCAAAGAGCATTATTACAATGGTATTAAATGTAAAAATTTTTTTTTCTTATGCATTTCAGTTGCATGAGGTTGAATATTATGACTTATCACCTATATAATATATCTACACTTATAATCTTCACGCCCCAATTTGTAACATATTAGAAAAAAAAATTTGAAATCGAGATTTTTTATACATTTAGTTTTTGTTTTTTTTTTTTGTTAAATCATGCATTAAAAGAAAATAACATTATTGATAATCAAAATTAAATTTGAAAAAAACGAAGACTTGTTAGCGACGGTCAATTTTAAAATACTCAATTTAATCCATTTATAATTCAATATGCTATAATTAATAGCAGTTATTCAAAAAAACTAAGAGGAAAGCAAAACAATTAGAAAATTATTCTATTTTGAAAATATGACCATGAGACCAGAATCACAATTTAAAAAATAGGTAAAACAAGCCACAATATGGTAATACTGTTTCAAGAGATATGTGTAGGAGAAAGTTCGAAAGAGTTTATTTTAATATTGGAAGATTATCATTGTTAAGAGGTGTTAGGTACTGTTTACATATGTTTACGATAATGTCTAAAAATAAATGTGCGATAAAGTTTGATGACTGTTTACACATCAGACTGAAATTATCTGATAACGACTACGAATCTATAACCAAAATAAAAATCAACTGCTGATCGCTGTTCCTAGCCCCCAAAAAAAAAATTAATTCTCACTATTTTACTTTCACAAAATCTGACAAGAAGTCTAATGAGAATAGAAGTAATTTCAATTGATTGCCGTCAGTCAATCAAAGTTTGATGTCAAACAGTGTTTACATATACAACTTTCATCAGATTCAGATTAAATCGTAAATTTTGTCTTATATATTAGCAATTATTGTATAACAGTTATATATATAAGTATATAAGTGTACAAATATAAATAAAATTTTTATTAAATATTTTTAGAGCGAAACAACAGGTGATTATTTAATAATAAATTATTAAAGTTTATGATATAAATTTTACATGATTGTATGACATGATTTCAACATTTCAATTATATATTTTGACAACTTTATTATAATATAGGGTGTGGCAAAATTATTATGACAGATTGCTTAAATATAACGTATACTTGGTGTAAACACATAATTATCACATAGGCACTTATATTAAAAAAAAAAATTATAATTTATATTACGAAGAGAGACAATTATTTTTTTTTGAAAATTTTTTACTTTCATGAGAAAATCGAATAAAATAATTAAAATATTTTAATCAAAATTGTAATTAATTGTTCATAATAAATTGTACTTAAAAAAAAAATATTCACAATAAAATATTGAAATAAAATTTTTATTGAAATTAAAATTTTGAAATAAATTAAAAAATTTACGATACTTATATACTTAAATAGTAAAATATTATGTAATTTATAATGATTTTTTTTAGTAATTTAAAAATTTTACACTCAATTATTGAATTTTACGTTTTACAAATTTCAAAAACACTGGAAATATTTTTTTTTCATCTAAAATTTCTTATTAACTCGTTCTAATAGCTCAATAGATTTAATTAACAATTTCAGTATTTGGAATTTAGAGAAAAATATTTGGACACTGAGGAAAATTGGGTAAAGAATTAAACTCATATACTTAGAATTTGAATCAAAAGTAGGTGACCTTATTTGACCTTGTTATTTGATTGCCGTCATAAACACTAAAATGTTATGGTTTTTAGCACCATTTAAAAAAAAGAAAAAACGAAAAGTACTAATTATGTACTTAAAACTCTTACTAGAGAACCCACTCATTTTGTGACACAAAAAGAAAATTTTTTGGAGTTAAAATGTACCTACAGTATAGAACAAAAAAAAAAACTTTCACCTTTAATTTTTACAAGATGAAAGAGAAATAAAAAAAATTGTCTTCATTTAATTTTTAAATTTCTGTTTTTTTAATAAATTTTACTATCAATTTCATTTAAGTTTTCATTAATCTTATATACCAAAAATATTAAAAAATTTTAATTATAGTTTTCTTCAAAAAAAGAAGTGATTTGAAAAACTTTCTTCTTACCATTCTAATTTCCTTGCCAACCAAAAAAAAAATGGGCAAGCAAACTATTATTACACACCTGAAATTCTCATTCCGTTGTTTTATCTTTCTAGTTTCCCACTTTTAATTTTTTAAGCTCTTTGAAAAAAAAAAAATGTAAAAATGAGGAGTAAAACAAAAAATTTTTTTTTTTAGTACAATTTACTAAATGAGCCGTAGGCTAAAAGAAGCCTGCGATCAAGTAACATAACATGATTTTTTAAAAGTAAAAGAATTTAAAAGTTTCAAATTAATTTAAGTTTTTTTTTTTTTTTGCCACAAATTTTCATTTTAATCTAGCCTACAACTA